CTTAAGGCTCATCAAATTACTCGCTCTCAAAGCATTGAGAGGCCTGGTTTGACTGCTAGAAGCTCGTTGCATTGGATCTCAGTGGCATAATTAAACATAAATATAATCTGTACATGAAATGAAACATATATGAATAGATATGAAGCAAAATATAAATGAAATACATTCGCTGAATAATTATTCCAAGATGCGAATAGTATCATAAAGTGAGTTAAAGCCGTTTACAGAAACACTCCAGCTGCAACTCAGACCTTAGTTCAACCATGCATAGACAAGTCCCAGAAGTGTGACAGGGCTGTCATCTCGTATTACTATTTTACCTCCCTCAGCTTGAGGCTTAATTCAATTTACAAGGCATCAATCGATGAGAGACATTTGCTCAATAAAAAAACATAATTGAATAACGAGCATCGATGCGGAATTATTAACTCAATAGACAATAATCAGGTTACGTTGTGTCGCTTCCTGAACATAGTAGTTATTGAATAATGGTAGTTGGATCGTTAGTTCTTGTTTGTACGAGACTTTTTTTACACATAATTGGCATAATGAATATAACAATGGAAATACAAGCAATAGGATCCGAGACATCGTGTTCTGAACACAAATGAATGAATTATACAGACGTGCATGTTCTTCACTACATATAATGGAATTGTTTGTGTTTTCTGGATCGCTTTGCCGTCAGTTTCAATGCACTAAAATATTCACGAAATATTGAAAACTAATGGCTAAAAGTAGTGAACGTTAGGTTATTGTTATCGGTTTAAAGGAATCTAACGATATCGTTGGGTTCAGATTTGGTTATGGCAGATAGGGTTAGCTAAATCGCTAAGTCATTTTTTAGTATAAAAAAAAACTTTGTTTCAAGGATGTTGTACTGACTGTTAGGTCCTCCACTGCTAGTGCACCCAGAAATGTCGAAGTGATCGTTCAGTGGCGCATCGACGGAAGGAGTGGGAATTGCATTTGTGAGCTTCGTGAACATAACAGAATATTCTACAGTTTTAAAAACATTCCACACGCATCAAGCAACGTTAGAATTTTTTCGAAAGAAGCAACGCTAGGATTTTTTGCCGCGAAAGTCTCGCAATAAGATTGGATACGCCCTTCAGTTGAGAAGTCGTCTCTTCTGTAGAATCACTGACCCATACACAAGACACGAATCTAATCGCTGACGGCCTGACGACATCAGTTCCGTTCACACCGGCACTCCCATGAACTTAAGACTGTAAACGTGTTCAATATTTCATGGCAATTGCCAAGCCGCTGCCTTAAAAACCATACATTGGGTTCGATTACGGTTTTTGTAGCTCGTATTGGACAATTTTACGCAATGCGCAGGAGGAACATTTTTTCCGGCAAGTGGTAAAGTAAGGCAGCTGGAAGATGCGTTCAAAATAGTGGGTCGTGAATTTTTTCTTCACGCCACCGACTGTCACAATCACGCAGGTGGAAGAGGGAGCATCGCGAGCAGCGTACGCTCATCAAAAATTACAATAGCCTGTGGCATGCGCGCTGTCCAGACTTCGGCTCAATGTGCCTTCAACCTATGCGGTTATTTTGGAATTACATGCAAAATAATCGATGAGATGACACATAAAAGGAACATGTTGCAATACCGAAACCTACAAAAATTTTGCTTTTAACAACTCCTCAAAATGAGGTTGTTTATCGGGCGTCAATTTTAAACTGCCACGGCACTGCAAGGGATTGAATAAATCATGCGATAAAGTTGAAAAAATATTTTAATGAAAATTCACGTATATTTCATATTAAGATATATGCATTGGTTCATCAAATTCTCATGATGCACATAAAATGAAACAGAGCGATCATTGCAACTTTGGCTCCAAACTCGGTGCACGCGATGCAATAATAACCTGGCATTTCCTATTGAGCTTCGGAGTTCACAACCACCCAGCGCAGCAAGACAACACAATTGAGCAAATATCGTCACGCCCTCACACAATAAATGGAGTACAAAGTGGCGAGCGGCTGACAAGAAACACAAACTTCACTAACTCTTTGCTTACATCACATAATTTCCCTGGCAATCTTCTAACAGAAATTTTCCTGCGCTCGAGTACTTCCTAGGGACGTAAGCTAAGAGATAAATAGAAGTGGCTAAGAATATAGCAGGAAAGGGAACAACCATTACACTGTAACGAAAATATAAAAGGGCACACATGAACATAAGGAAACTTCGTAGCTAACAATGCCACCAATTCTAACGCTGATTCTTCCACTAAATCAACCGCCACAGCAAGCTAAGCATAATAGCTTGCTAACTACAGACTACGGGCACTCAAGGAGGCGAAGTGAGGAGAATTCATTGAATAGATTGACACAATACAAGTTTCTTCAAACGAATTGTACACGACACGCAAAGAAGTAGAGCAGCACATGAAGATCGAATGGCAAGAAACGCGCACAGACAAGAAAAGTATCCCAGATTTATTATAAACTATTTCGGATCGAACGATGGAAAAAATTCTTGACACATACCAAACAGTGCGCAATATTTATCATATGTAATGGAGTAATTGAATATTCATACATTGGTCGTAACTGAATATTCAGTTCACGATTTAATAACAGAATTGTTCGCGCCTCGGGAACAAAGAACAGAATCAACACCAGTGACGGCACCAGGTGTTGTCAGACCAACATTCCTCACAAGAATACCGCATACTAACTAATTTCCTGCAAAAACCCAGGCCAAATGAACTGATAGATACACCTAAATTATCCGCAACGATTTGCTTAATGATTTCGTAGATACTTTCTATTAGCGCTAATCGCTAATCTAAAACTTCATAAAAAACTAAGATAAAAATTAGTCTAGCATCACAAACATCAGAATGAAGCTGATTATTGCAGGAATGACGTACCTTCCTAAACCCACGGATAATTCTACACTTAGATGTTCATGTGAATGAAACTCGTCATGCTTATGTCACGGCCGCAGCATTCCACTGCTATCACCTGCAACGCAGCCTCTAGGTTAGCTCAAGACTCGCCTGCTACTCGTCGCGGTTTTTAGTTAAATTCAACTTGGAAGATTAAAAATTTGCTGGACGTGACAGAAATTGAAATTATGATACATGTGCAATTAAAGCCAAAGCTCCATTTATGATTGAACCATATTAACAAAGCTTCTACATGAAAGTTTACAAAGCTAATCATGAGGGTTCATCCGCAAAGTTTCACGAGCCTCGTCAAGTTGACTAGAGTTACCAGCATCATATGGGGGAGAACATCTTGGAAAGACCATACTTTTATTCTTTTAATTCAACGAAAATGTCAAGAAAATGAACCACAATATAAACATCCAATCTCAATTCTTTATCATAAGTGATTCCTTTGTTATCACAACTTTCTATCACTTACAACACGGCAAACTAAGTACAAAAATACGCAATAAATAATCATGATACGCAAAAAGTGTACAAGCCCAACAAATGAAAGCTGTTCGTATCAGTTGCCCACACTTTCTCTCTGGGCAAGAGACGTTTGTCCAGATGACTGAAATTATATCTGCCTCTGCACGTCTGGGGCCTGTGCCCCATCCTCTTCTTGTGAGAGGAGTGCCTCGTGATCGGCGCTGCGGCCCTTACGACACTTCCAGACGGCGAGCCCGATGCCCGCCAGCAGCATGGCCAGCACCGGCACCCCCAGGCCCACCACGATCACGATGAGCACGTTCGTTGACAGCCCCTCAGTGGGCGGTGAGCCGGACCCCGCCGTGAACGACCTGGCACAAAAGAAGTTAGCAGATACTGCGGGACAACTACCTAGTCCAAGAGGTTGAAATGATTATATATGTTCATCTATGAATATGTTTATCCATGAATAAGTTTATCTATAAATCTCCATTACATGATTAAATTAACACGAGATATCAGCCAGATCTCGTCACGTCATTGACGATTTTTTAAGTCATTGAACGGTGAATTTTGAAGAAACGGCGAAGAAATTTTTGAAGGACTCGAAGGCAACAACTCTTAAAGTCGGCGAATATACACACATTCATAATCAAATTATAATAAGGTGTCATACAGAAACAAATGGGCAGATAAGTAAGGACAAGTTATGAATTTCGATGCTTATCTTTGGATTATTCCAACTCAAGTTTACCAGCACGTGGTTAATAAAGATCAACATGTACTCATCAAGGTAGCTAAAAAACGGGATCTCATTCCATGGATACCTTTACCGTTATTCGTTGAGCCCTTTTACTGGGTGTAAGTTGTGTAAATGTGGTGCGAAATTCGTGACTGTGTTAGTAGTCACTTTTTAATTTGATTTTGCGTGTTGATGGCGTTGGACATTGTTCGCGATATACCTGCACTTCAGTGCGATGCTTGCTTGGGTAAGAGGGAGGCGGCTACGAGACAGATGCATGCTGCTCAGCCACTCAGCTTTTTTATCAAGGTAAACTCGGATGAAAAAAAAGGCTTGCGTTATTGTTGACGACGTGTGCACTTACGTGTGCAGAGCGCAACATTCGGCAGACTTGCAGTGAAACTTTTAGTATTTGTACTGGGAGGAAGTGTAGCGTGGCTGTAACTGTAACTCTCACCACACAATGTAGCTGGAGGAAGTTTAGTGTGACAGTAACTGCATCTCTCACCACACAGTGTAGCTAGTGGAGGTGTAGCATGGCTGTAACTGCATCTCTCACCACACAGTGTAGCTAGTGGAGGTGTAGCATGGCTGTAACTGCATCTCTCACCACACAGTGTAGCTAGTGGAGGTGTAGCGTGGCTGTAACTGCATCTCTCACCACACAGTGTAGCTAGTGGAGGTGTAGCGTGGCTGTAACTGCATCTCTCACCACACAGTGTAGCTAGTGGAGGTGTAGCGTGGCTGTAACTGCATCTCTCACCACACAGTGTAGCTAGTGGAGGTGTAGCGTGGCTGTAACTGCATCTCTCACCACACAGTGTAGCTNNACCTGTCTCTTATACACATCTAGATGTGTATAAGAGACAGGCCTGGTAGGTACTTTTGCTAAGGTCAATAGCCTACGTACTCAATACTATATAAAAAATATTTGCCATATTAAAAATTTTACTTGAAAAAAGTTTTAGACAGGTGTTGGCTCTAAAATTTCATTAACTGAATTTTTTTACAGGAAAAAATGCTATATGGCTGCTGATACTATGAAGCTTGCAGTGGACAAGTTTGATGTCAATAGTTAATGCCTAATGCCTAGTAATGGTATGTCCAACTCCATACTCCATGGATTATGGATACTATGGTAATCTCACATCAATAATACTGTAATCAGTGTAATGTATGGATATGGTACAAACGTACAATCTTATCAATAAAGAAAAAACAAGTACCTACATCAGCTACATCACTTACATCGGTTACATGTAACAGAAAATGTCATTTATTTTACATCTATCATCTAGGTATGAACTTTATGCCACTATTTTTAGCTTCACAATATTCTGATTAGTGATTAGTTTAGCACTTTAGCTGCTACAACATTTCTACAAAATGTGGGACCGTTAGGACGACTCTCCCGATTTACCTCGCCCAGTCGCCTGTCCCTTATTACCCCGTTAGACATGACGGACCGACGGTACTGGTTACAGACTGTCTCTTCTCATCACTCATGAGTCATGAAGAGAAGAGGAGTCAGAAGTGATAGGGCAGGGAGGCTCAGCCGCTCAGGCTGGGAGTGGGTTCTTGACGCTGGACGGACCCTTCGGCCTTCGCTATTTACACTCGTGGTACTGCCGTCTGCCGTACTGGTATAGAAGTATACTCCATGAGCAAGTAATATGTGAAAAATAGATGAATTTTTGCTAGTTAACTTTACGAATTAAAGGGCGATTGACACTACAGATATGTTCACTGGACGAACGCAGCTGACTCTCTAATTTTAACGGTCGCGCGTTAGCACCGCTGAAACCCGGAAGCCGAACACAAATATTGAACCCGGTTTTTCAGGAAAGATGTCATATTGGCGAGTTGAATTAGCTTTATGAGGGAAGTAAGTAGATCCAGAACCTGTAATAACTCGTCACACATAGATTCATCAAAATTATGCTGGTGTGTAATATTTGTTATGTTGTGATTTACAATCGGGATTTAGATCACGTAGCCGCTTCCAACTTCGAATACTGTGTCGTATGCCGAAGTAAAAATCGACCGCAATCATTGTTGAAACAATTCTAATTGCGCTTATGATTCGAATTTTATTTATATGCTAGAATGGAATTTGCACGGTGTGCAAATTGTTTTTTTTTTATTTATATGCTAGAATGGAATTTGCACGGTGTGCAAATTCTAATGTGATATTATCCTACCGTACCACAATGCACAATGAGAATCAAAAGTCATAAGTGTTTAAAAAAAATAAATTGCACCTATGGATCTTTTATTTATATAAAGTTTACTAACAGACGATAAATTATTATATGCATGGTTCAACTTCTGGAAGTAAATTTTAAAGCACGATCTCAACTTCGAACCTTTTTTTTACCGCTTCAGCGGTAGCTAGACAATAAGTTTTGTTAATAATTAATTTTTTTTGTTTGTGTGATGTGTCAATCCAGATTTATCCCTTCTTGACCGTAATTATTTACCACAATTTTCAGTGATAATAATATGTGATCACTCCAATTTATCCTCCTTCATAGGGCAGTTCGTTATTAATATTAAAAAATTCGTTCTGGATTGGAAGTGATAAAGATTGGATCATCTTAAATACATTTTCTTTCAACTTAGAGAGTCAATTTGGGAACCGTGCGTCCTGGTCAAGATATCTCCAGATGTTTGTATTAGCTAAACTTTACTGTTTTATAAATTTTCTGGGTTGATTAAGAAAGTTCTCAGTTGAAGGATTTTCTTAATGAGGGTTTTTTTGTCTCCTGTTATAATATATCTTGAAACTGCTGCAATAGAGAAATATCAAGGGTTATGTTAGAATTTAGAACAAAATCATCACATCGATGACCACAATTTGTCACTGCGAAGCAAGGATCAAAGATTGAAATAGTTGACAATAAGTTACAATGTTAGCCCATAATCTCGTTTTTTGTTTGATTAAATTATCTTTTCTAGGACGCTTCTCTTCTTTTTCTCGCCCGCAGACAACCTTTATCTTATCTTAACCTAGGCTTTAACCTACATTTGTACCTTTACATGCTTCTGTTAGGCTGACCTACCATGGGCATGATTTGCGTTTGTTGACGAATCTTTTCTTGAGCGCTTCTATTCTTGTTATCTAACAAACAAACTTTATTTTGAGACATCTTGGCAAGTAGTCAACCTCCTCTCACTCCTTAAGGCTCATCAAATTACTCGCTCTCAAAGCATTGAGAGGCCTGGTTTGACTGCTAGAAGCTCGTTGCATTGGATCTCAGTGGCATAATTAAACATAAATATAATCTGTACATGAAATGAAACATATATGAATAGATATGAAGCAAAATATAAATGAAATACATTCGCTGAATAATTATTCCAAGATGCGAATAGTATCATAAAGTGAGTTAAAGCCGTTTACAGAAACACTCCAGCTGCAACTCAGACCTTAGTTCAACCATGCATAGACAAGTCCCAGAGGTGTGACAGGGCTGTCATCTCGTATTACTATTTTACCTCCCTCAGCTTGAGGCTTAATTCAATTTACAAGGCATCAATCGATGAGAGACATTTGCTCAATAAAAAAACATAATTGAATAACGAGCATCGATGCGGAATTATTAACTCAATAGACAATAATCAGGTTACGTTGTGTCGCTTCCTGAACATAGTAGTTATTGAATAATGGTAGTTGGATCGTTAGTTCTTGTTTGTACGAGACTTTTTTTACACATAATTGGCATAATGAATATAACAATGGAAATACAAGCAATAGGATCCGAGACATCGTGTTCTGAACACAAATGAATGAATTATACAGACGTGCATGTTCTTCACTACATATAATGGAATTGTTTGTGTTTTCTGGATCGCTTTGCCGTCAGTTTCAATGCACTAAAATATTCACGAAATATTGAAAACTAATGGCTAAAAGTAGTGAACGTTAGGTTATTGTTATCGGTTTAAAGGAATTTAACGATATCGTTGGGTTCAGATTTGGTTATGGCAGATAGGGTTAGCTAAATCGCTAAGTCATTTTTTAGTATAAAAAAAAACTTTGTTTCAAGGATGTTGTACTGACTGTTAGGTCCTCCACTGCTAGTGCACCCAGAAATGTCGAAGTGATCGTTCAGTGGCGCATCGACGGAAGGAGTGGGAATTGCATTTGTGAGCTTCGTGAACATAACAGAATATTCTACAGTTTTAAAAACATTCCACACGCATCAAGCAACGTTAGAATTTTTTCGAAAGAAGCAACGCTAGGATTTTTTGCCGCGAAAGTCTCGCAATAAGATTGGATACGCCCTCCAGTTGAGAAGCCGTCTCTTCTGCAGAATCACTGACCCATACACAATACACGAATCTAATCGTTGACGGCCTGACATCAGTTCCGTTCACACCGGCACTCTGCAGTGCAGCTAGCCTAACAAATCAACAAAGTAAGCTGGAAGTAAAACCAAAGCGGTAATGAAAAGAAGAGTGTGCGAGGGATGAGTAATGATCAGGCAATTAGATGATAGCTGCTCTATTCACCAGTTAAAAATTATATTTATAAATAAAATATAGGGATGACAGAATGATGATAGCAGCAACTTTTGCCAACGATATCATATTTTGCTTCAAATATCATTGGGAAATTTTGCCAATTACATCTGAAGTAAATACGAGATAAAAAATGATCAAAGATGACATCTTATAGAGGCTCAAAGGAAAAAGCAAGCAAGTGGGACATTACGGTGTGTTTGTCACAAGGAGATCGACAGACTAGCAGAAAGCTTAGTTGCCAGGAGGTTTCTTTGAATGCTCTTGCCTCAGAGAAAAACTGATCCAGTTTAAATTTGCTCTGGGCAACATGATGGACATGAATCATTGTCAGACATGCACCCAAATTGATTACGTACATGTTGAACATAGTCAGTGTATCTTGTTTCAATGGTGTAAGTTTTTGGATGGCAATGACAAAGATTTAGTGAAACTTCATTCAAGCACAACACAAACAAACAAATGGAGTACTTTATTCTAAAGATAAGTAGCAAATGAAATTACATTTGCAGTCATTGAATCTGTTTAGAATCAATTTTTATGCCTGAGCAAAGGTCAAACATAAAACAATAAAATAAACTACATTAAAATAATAGTTATGTCTACATAAAATAAATGAGCTAATATATGGTACGTATTAGATATGCAAGCTTTTCAAATCTTTCTATTGTGTTATGTAGCCTCAGTATTAGGCGTTTAATGCCCATTGACAAAATTTTTCTATGTCAAATAGTTTTTGAGTTGTGGGGGTTTCCCTTAAAATTGCTTTACAGTTTTGCATTAGGTAGATCAATTTGTTCTTATGTGTTCCTAGTGTACTTATGTGTTTCAACTTTCAAGTGTTATTGTTGGATAGGTTTTGTGTTCTTGTTCCTGCACTTTTGCAGAGCGGCCAACGTGGGGCATATTCTGGGCCAATTTGGAGCGCATTCCGACAAGTTCTGAGCTAGTTTGATGCCAGTTCTGGATGAGTGACAGGCAAGCTGTGGGCTGACTGAGAAACATTGCAGACGATTCTTGGGCTGCTCTTGAGCTACTCGAGCTGACACTAGAGGCAAACATGGATGCCCTTTAAGTCCTGTCTAGCAACTCATGTCAGAGCTGCCCTAACGTGCCAGTTGAGTCTACCCCACTGCTACTCACAAGTAAGACCACCGCCATCTTGTTTCTTTGGTGCGGACGCCACTTGATGGACCAGGCCTGACCCAGGGCCCGTTTTGAGCCCTTGATTCCTTGGTTTCATTATTCTTGATTTGATTTATGCTACAGATCATTATTCTGGCCCAGTTTAGTTTATTTACCATGTATCATTGTTTATTCTTTACTGTTCAAACCAGTTTGGGCTGCTGGCTATTTATGTTCTCATGCTAGGTTCACCCCATCACTCATAGCCCTGGGCTGTCTCATTACTAACCAACTAATTTTGCACCCTTCACCTTCATGTACCACTGATTATATGTAATACATGTTTGCTTGGTTCTTCCTCCATTTGTTCCCTGAGTTTGTTTTACTTGGCTTCACATGCTGATACTATACCGGCCCGGACCGTCAACCTTTAGAGAGGCTGAGGGACAATAAGGGACATATAATAAGGGTAATAAGGGACAGTCCTCTGACATTTCTTAGAATTATAGCAGCTAAACTAATTGAAATATTGCAAAACTAAAAAAAATGGCATTAAGTTCAAAATTTTTCCTATCTATGTATCATAAAGCAAGTAAAGAAATCATACATTTACTACATTTAAAAAATCCCCCCAAAAAAGTGAGATTTTGGAAAAGTACCTTTGCTAAGGTCAGAAGCAAATAATTATTTGCAATATAAAAAATTCAACTGATATAAAATTAGCACACAGATGTTGGCTTTAAAACCTTCTTGACAGAATTTGCGTAGCTCATTCCCAAAAAAATTGGCAGCCATTTTTGCACAACTGAGTAATAAGGGACACCCCAAAAATGCATTTACAGTAAAAACCTTGGATAGCAAAGGCTCCATTTAACAAAAAAAATCAATTAAAATCAATGAATTTTATTCAATTTACCTCGTTCAGCGAAAAAAAAAATTCACTCAGCAAAAAAGGCATAATTGGCCATCACACAATTGTGCAGAGAATTTCATAGATAGAATTGCGCACCAGGCAACATAGAATGAGAAGTACCATAAAATGGGGTAACTTTGACCACTTTTTTTCCAAAATTATGCCATTTTTTTACTAGATAAATTAAACTTAAATTAAAACATGCAAAATACAGGTCCTGTCTCTTATACACATCTAGATGTGTATAAGAGACAGGCGTACAGGTGCGGTGAGATTGTAGCGAACAGGCACGGTCAGATGGTAGCACACTGGTGTGGTGAGAACAGGCCTCTCTTCGACATGCCTACTTCCAGTTACATGCCCTCATCCATGCCTGCTTCTGTTCTTCGAGGATCTGGAAAATAATGAGAGATGAATACATCGTGTAAATCGAGTGTCCTTAAGAATGCAGGCTCTCATAGACATTACACCAACGTTCTATCAATTTTGGAAATGCGTTGCAACGTACTATCTTGTATGCACTCACTCTAATTCTGATGAATGACAATTCAACACCAAGTTATGATATCTTTGGTAGATAAACAAATTTTGATAAGTGAATAATTTTTGAAAGTTCAAAACATAATCTTGTCATATATACTATCGATTGATTGAATTTGTTTAAAATGCTGGATGCCGTTTGGTATGGAAAATCCTTATGCCATAATGCATGGAGAGTGATCACTGATCAAATATCTGAACTTTCTTGGAACTATAGTCAAAAGATCAATAAAATTATTTCAATCATTTAAAATTAGTTCATTTGGTCACCTGATTGCGAGAAGACAAGTGTGGACTTACCGTTTAAGAGCAGGCCTCAAAGTCATTGGCCAAGTAGCAAGTANCCGCAACTATGCGCGATCTTCAACAAACGTTTTGTTTATTTGTTTACATTACGATGTTTATGTTTTTTCTGCAAGATATTTTTGGCAGAAACGGTAAAGCAATGCGGATTGCGGAAGTTGAAAATTTTATGAAATGACATGTTTGTGAAGTGCAAACCGCGATTTTTTAATCTAACAAAAATTTATGACAATCGAGCCGCGAGATTTCATACCTACTGAGTCTGAAATTATATGATATTAGAGCCGCGATATTTCAGACAAAAATAGGACTTTTCCAGACTAGCATATGATGGTTGTTACTAAAACATTCCTTTCTGTTTCAGATATGTTTTTTTACAATCTTTTTTTTTATAGTGAATTCACTTAACCCAATTAAAATGGTGTGAAATTACAAGCCATCCTGTAAGCTTACACCTTACCTTAGTCCTTTCCTTTCTGTTTCTAACCTTAGTGACCTTACAGATACAGAAGAAATGCTATATGGCTGGCTTGGCTGCTGATATGAAGCTTGCAGTGGACAAGTTTGTTGTACATGCTCAATGGCAATTATGGCATGCTTATGGATATGGTAAAATCACATCAATAATATGGTAATGAATGAATATTGTGATATCAAATCATATCAATAAAAGATAAACAAGTAAAAAAACACAGAAAATGTCATTTATTCTACATCTACATCATCTCCAAATTTCAGGAGGCTTTTAATTTTCATCTGGCAGTGAGCCAGTGAGCAGTGACTGGCACTGGCTGCAACTGGCCTGGCATCATACCAATTAGCCTACCAATCAACCAATGCAATAGCATAGGTATGGCATTTTTTCAGAGATACTCAGATAGGCTACCATTTGATAGCCCTTGCAAAAACTTTTAAAATGGGCCCAAACTTGTTTATGAAATCTTTCATGGTGAGAAATTATCGACAAAAAATGCTCAAAATCCCTTTTTACCCTGTTTGACGGTATTTATTTGCAACTTATTAAAGAAGGACGGTCATGGACCAATTACACTTACGATACACGTGACAGGCCATTACCAGTTACAATACGTTACCAATGACAGGGCACGATGCCCACGTGGGGCCATATAAGGCAAAAGCCAGTTTTGCATACAATTTTCTAAACCTAAATTTCTCAAGTCTTAGAAGAACAGACGTATAGCCTCTACTTGAGAATATGAATTTTAAAAATCTCAATAAGTTTAGAAATTTTTTTGTATACATACATAAATAACCCGACTAATAAAACAATTCTGTGCATCACTAGGGCCACACCAAAGAAAGGGAACGAGATGTACCTACGAGCAATATGCCGTCAGCAACACAAAGGTCAGCAGTGACGATTACGGTAGCGCTACTATTCGCGACTCCAGAAGAGTTGAGTCTTTTTTTGCAGGGATACGGTATGGTATGGTATGGTTCTAGCTAAAGCAAGAAAGCTTTAGCTAGAAAAGTCTCGCTTCATCGTCTATTAAACAAATTTTAAAAAATTCGCTAGACAAAGCCTTCGTTAATGCAGGAATTTAAATTAAGAGAATACCGTATAGTTCATTATGTGTTTAAATTTGCCATTTGTTAGCCAACATAATGGAATAGTCGTTAAAACTGCTATTAACATTTTCACCAAAATTCCATTCCCACTGAGAGTGAATTTGTCTCCTTACTGATATATTGAATACAATTTTATGGCTTCATTCAAAGTTTCTACGTTAGTCCATCGTCCTACCGCCACACCGTATTGAATACAGAAATTAACTCAATCTACCAAAAAATTGAGGAAATGTGTCAGCGTAAGTTTTCTCATGAACACTAAGCCCTAAACGGATAAGTAAATTTGACATAACGAGCAATATACCATCAAGATAAACATTAGTACAAACGTGCGCTCACTAGTCACTGGGGTTGGGGTTGGTGACGTTGAGGATGAGGTTGTCGAGGATGAAGTCGACAGCCGCGGCGGACGCGTGGCAGAACAGGCGCGGCGGGTCATCGGAACGCCGCCCCTCCAAACTGGCGCTCAACTGCACGCAGCGAGCCCGTCAGGGAAGGGAAGTTAGGAGGGGGAGCTTCATCGAATGAAGAGAACTGCATAATATATTAACCTTAAAACCTGCTTCACAACAAAGTATCTTGAAATGAGAGTAACAAGTTCTTAATGACCAATGAGAGGTAGAAGATCTCGTTTAAAGTTGAAGTATGATTACCATTACACGTGATGAGCTGACTAAACCCTCTAGAAATATAGTCCACCAAAACTACCTATATAAAATTAAACCCTCTAGAAATACCGTATTGTCCACCAAAACTATATAAAATTACATAGGGAGCACGGCATTACAGATTGGAATTGAAAATAATACCAAAAGGAAGTTAGGGAATCCAAGCCATTACCATGGCAGAAAAGTATGGGCGGGTAGAACTTAGGAATAAAATTAGGGGAGATGTGGAAATTAAATAACAGCCCAATCTTCAACTGAAATGAATTGAATTTGAAGACGCATGCTACTAGAGTTTTACCAATAAAAACACTGACAGGACAATTCTTTTTGTAGCCTAGTACTGCTTAGCCTCAAATAGTTTGGAGAAATATAGTTTAATTACTTAAACCAAGGCAGTAAGTTGAGCAGCTTCGCCTGGGCATTACAACGGTGTTTTCTTCAGTAACCGGTTATATGACAGATTACTGTGGCAAAATATTCTGTGCTCGTTTTGTGCTGTACCTAACGTGCTCGCTGCCTCCACTAGCAAACATCTATAATTTCTTATCTCAATGATGGTACCTACCTCATCAACCATTTAATATTGCCTTTCGTGGTTATGCACTATACCAATAACCCCTACAGTCTTCAAGCAAACAAACCACTATTATACAAGATTGAATCGACTTGATTATAAATGAAGGGCATAAATATGAGTACATTTAATTTGATATCAATACCAAGAAAGAGTGAACGAAAAAATCAGATGGCCTAAATTAGGTAGTTGTATCAGAGGCAGCAGTGACCATTTATACAAGAGTTGAGAAGTACGTAACTCACATTGATGTAAAGACCAGAGTTGGGTTCCAGTTCAGTGTTATTACAGTGGGTGGTGTAGAAGGACACGTGCACATCAGAGTCAGTGTAAGACACGGTGAAGTTCCAGTCAAAAAGCGAGCTGGGCAGGCTTATCTGTGCTGAGCTGTTGACGTTCCTTATGCTGCCTTCGTCGTTAACGTCATCAAAGAGGATGATCTGCTCATTAATCATTTATTTCAAGATACAAAAAAAAACTTTCTTGCAAAAAAAGTCTTAGTAACCAATGTTTCAGATAACAGTAATTGGGTAATTTTAAGTATTCATGATGGATGTTGATATGGATGGATTAGTCCTACTGCTACACTTATTTGATTGCAAATGAAATTATGGAATGATTGGTTACTACCGTATAAGTTATACTTCAGAGCCCTAATAGGGCACCAACAAACAATACAATGATCACAAGAAAAAAATCACCTGACATTGTCAATAATTTGAAATACCCAATAAATGATTAAAATTTTAAATTAATGCTTCAGTTTAAATTAATAAAATCTAGGAAATTTGAACAACATAATTGGGAAAGTATGAATGACATAATATGATTTGAAAAGTCACCTCAGTGATAGCAACACCAAAGACACTGAGGGGGGCAGGCTGGAGCTGGATGGCTGAGGCCTGATGACTTGCAAGCAAGGACCAGTCAACAGAAAGCTTGGCATCTGCTGGGGACTCGATGGCCATGAGGGTCGGGGCACCCACGGCTCCCCACACATGGTGGTACTGAACACAGTAGAGAGAAATGTGTAGAAAGTTAATATCTCATGCTCTTTCTTTCTCTTCTAAGCTTTCATGAAAACTGAAGCATAAAACAGTTATCAGATATCCGTGCTTTCATTGGAATGTTTCTCTTGAATTTATATGTAATAGGTGCAATGCCCATAGAAACTGTTCCACATAAAAGAAGGTCTCTATAGTTCTGAGATATTTACCTGGTATTTAAAAATAATTATAAGTGAAAAAAATCAAAAGCCTGAAAGGTCTGTGAGATTGTGTCTGCACCCAGTAACATCTGATTGCTATTTAGAAATTTTTGTGAAGGTGAGAAAGAATTTCATAACAACTTGGGAAATTTAAAACTTAAAAAAAAGGAATATAGAAGAGGGAGGAGGGTCATGTAAAACGTCTTTGTATGTTAATGAATAGTTGAACGGCATCATATACGTGTACTGATGATTTATAGGGAAAATATGGACTCAAACTTTCAAATTTTTCAATGGTACAGCATGAGTGATAGNAGCTGCAGGAAAATTGAGAGCATTTTTAACTATACTGACCATTGGATTGTGTAAAGCACAAGAAAACTACTACATAAAAGCACAGTAGTAAAAACTAAGAACCTACCTAGAGACAAGCTAGGGGAACATTTTTCAAGTATTTTGAGAAGTAACAGAAAAGCTCTTCAGCATTAAATGCAGGAATAGAGATTACAAAAAGCAAATAAAATGGGGAGCATAGGTTAAATATGACAATAATGGATAAAAATATAAATTTATCTCATACATATACATGGCATCAGACTATCAAAGAACACAAATTTGTTCCTATCATTTTTGAAATCTTCCTTAAATATTCTTAAAACGTATACCGTACAATTTGAGACACATTCATAACTAACTATAACTGAGAAATATTTATTCAAATATATGAGAAATCAAGTAGGTTGCATTTAATGAGCTTTCAGAGATAAAATTTCTATAAAAATCTTACATTTCAAAGGTAAGCATATGACTATCAAATTTCAATAAAACTATTAAATTTGAAAGAGGCATGAATAGAAAAGGTTTATTGTATGAAGACGGTACCTGAGTTGCATTCAGAGAATCTGATGGCCGAGAGATAACATCTACCAGCCAAGGCAGGGAGCAATCAGCAGTACTAGCGCTACAGTCGGGGTTGACCGTCACCGTGAGGTTCTTGCCCAGGGCTCCATGTGAGAGGAGCTGTGGGATTCACAATTATCAAATTCAAATATTATCATTATGGTAAAAAATTTCATCAAATGATTCAGACAACATAAGCTATGTTAGTTGCCTTTACTTTTTTTTACAAATCCGCCCACAAAGTAATTTTGTTGGGAAATGTTGATAATAGCAATGGCATTTTCATGTTCTGCTTTACCTTTTGCTTTTTCAGCTTCAACATTGCAATAACAGGATTTCTTTATTACTACAATCAAACTCGACCTGTTCAGAGTCCCACATGTGTCAAACATTTTTGGGCCTAACAACTACATACAAAACATATCTGCATGATCTGATATGAGAAGTTTCCTTTCTTTTTTATCATGGAACTTTCTAACTGATTTTTCTACCCACTTGATTAGATTGTTTACATTGTGTCCAGTTCAAGGTTTGTATGAAACTCATTTTGCCAATACAACAGAAATATGATTACCGTATAATTGGAGCATACTGCATACTGGTATACGGTACCATACAATTTGAAATTCTGTAATGATAATACACGTACAGTATAGGTATAGTTATTTTCAGCTAAATTATATACCTACGTACAAATTTTAATTTTCATTACTTATACAGGCTCATAAAAGAAATTTGAATGAATGATAATTTTTTATAATATAGCATCATAGAGAGAACAATAGAGTTGAGCATACATTTCAAGGACAGCCTTCAGGGTGAACCAGAATATTCTTCAGCAGCTGAGTACCGTAAGAATTTTGGTACCAAGGCTTCTACAACCAAAATTAAATAAAAGTCTATATGAGAAGTGTATATGCATTGAAATTTAGAAATAAATGTAGCCTAATCAGGCCACAAAAAGTTGGTGGGGGTATAAAAAGAATAAGGGGTTTTATAACTATAAAAATTGAAACTATATTTGCACCTATGTATATATAATTATCACAGGGGATATCTTAAAAATTAAATCTATGTACAAAAGAATTCTTTTACAAGAATATGAAAATTACTACTCACCAGATTAGAGATCAGAAGAAACAGCATGCAGACTCTAAATGAGTTTTCCATTCTTTGATCTAATAATTGATCTAGTCTTTGAACTAATTATAATTATTCAATAATAATAACTGAAGCCCAAGTGTTAAAATCTAGACCAGATACAAATAAATAAAGATATATGAATGGGAAATAACACTAATATAAAAAAAAAACATTTGAAAATCTGTAAATAAAAGGGAAGTCAGTGCTTAGTATTTTCAATAAAATAAATGAGAAGGCCATCATAAATTATAAAAGAAGAGTACCGTCAACCTTAAAATGGTGTGAAATTACAGGCCGTCCTGTAAGCTTACAGATACAGAAAAAATGCTATAAGGCTGCTGATATAAAGCTTGCAGTGGACAAGGTTATTGTCAATGCTCAATGGCATGTTCATGGATAAGGTAATATCGCATCAATAATATGGTAATATTGCATCAATAATAGGGTGCCGTCAACTGGGGTGACTTCCCCTGTGTTTTTTATTTTGTTTTGCAAACAAAAACGAGGTCATAAATGCTAGGGTCGTAAACGAGGTCATAAACGCCAGAGTGACTTTGGCCATCATTTATAAGCCCCACTTTTGTTTGCAAAACAAAATCAAAAATGCAGCGGAAATCACCCCAGTTGACAGTAATTATGTATATGGTAATATCATATCAATAAAGGAAAAACAAGTTAAAATCACAGAAAATGACATTTATTCTACCTCTACATCATCTACAATGAAAGAGGAAGACTTCAGAGTACTGTTAGTAATGGATGAGTACACTCTGCATGCTTCAAATGTTTTAAAATGAAGTTTTATTCCAAGTGTCCCGAGTAGCCCCGTTCGACGAGGCTACTCGGGACACTCTTTTTTTGCTTCTAGCACCTTCTGAATAGCATATGGAATTTTTTTGGAGAAGCCATGTGTAGTCCTTGCAAAGAGCTTTGAAATGAGGCTAAACTTGTTTATGATGAAATGTTTCATGGTAGAAGTTATGAATGAAAAACATTCGAAATCGTCCCGAGTAGCCCAGGTTGACAGTAGTTGAAAGTAATATTTAATTAGCATTTAAGTAACAATTTGTAATACTGTTACCATGAAGTGGGGTGACTTTGGCCACACCTAGGCTCCAACAGAAACAAATGGCAGCAAAACAAAATAATAAACATTGCCCAAAGTCACCCCAGTCACTTTGGCCAATGTTAATCATTTTGTTTTGCTGCCATTTGTTTCTGTTGCAGGTGTGGCCGAAGTCGCCCACAGTGGCCAAAGTCACCCCACTTGACGGTATGCTGTAGTGTAAATTATCAAGATCACATATGAGTATAAGCACAGGCTGCACAGCTACTTTGGTTCTTTTATTTCTTTAGACATAAAATCAATGGGTGTTCAATGACAAAATTAGACAATTTAAAATAAAAATTTTATAAAACATTTGCAGGTTGACCTGTGATGTTCAACCTGTTTGGTGAAAAGGATATATACGGTACCATACTTGCTCTGTCCCTCTATGCATATTGCAACCTAGCAAGGAAAACGTCTACTGTCCATGCTGCAACTTGATTCTGGAAGTGGTGAATTTATTTATTTTTGTGTCCAATATATTTTTGAACCATGAATTTTTTCTAAGCCATGGGAAGCCATTTTTGAAAACTAGTCTGACTAGCTGTGAAAATATATTGAACAAAAACTGTAATGTTACCTTAGGATTAGCCTCAAGGGCGTTATTTTTCCTTTAGATGCAATTTAGCCGTGATAACATTGTTATGGGGTGTCACTTATACTGCTGGAGAATTGCCCAAAACATTCAGAAGACAAATTTTTTTTGATTACTTGAAAAATATTTTCTCCATCATCCCATCCTATGTAGTATATAAAAAATTCAAAATTGTTAAATGTTCTCTATATGTTTCAGACAACTTTCTATCAATTAGTCCCAAAAAATAATAAGCTTCTCAAGTTCTTAGGCTTGAATTGGCATTTGGCAAATTGGCAGGTCCTGATCAGAGTCAAGGTTTACTCACTTGGCCTGCCAGGTCCAGAATTTGCTGGAAGCCTGGAATATATATAGGTAAGTCAACAATGATTTAGGAAATATTTCATATTATGTGGCCATTTCAGACAATTCTCCATCAATTACCTAGTCTGACCAAAAAAATAAACTACATTAATGATTAATCTAAGATCAGGCATCATGGGACTGATGAATTTTTATCTTAAATCCTTGAATTTTTAAAAAATATAATACTGTCAAATGGGGTAATAAGGTACAGGTGGGGTAATAAGGGACAGTCCTCTGACATTTCTTAGAAATATAGCAGCTAAACTAATTGAAATATTGCAAAACTAAAAATAGTGGCATTAAGTTCAAAATTTTTCCTATCTATGTATCATAAAGCAATTAAAGAAATCATACATTTACTACATTTAAAAAATCCCCCCAAAAAAGTGAGATTTTGGAAAAGTACCTACCTCTGCTAAGGTCAGAAGCAAATAATTATTTGTAATATAAAAAATTCAACTGATATAAAATTAGCACACAGATGTTGGCTTTAAAACCTTCTTGACGGAATTTGTGTAGCTCATTCCCAAAAAAATTGGCAGCCATTTCCGCACAACTGAGTAATAAGGGACACCCCAAAAATGCATTTACAGTAAAAACCTTGGATAGCAAAGGCTCCATTTAACAAAAAAAAAAATCAATTAAAATCAATGAATTTTGATTAAATTTACCTTGTTCAGTGAAAAAAAATTCACTCAGCAAAAAAGGCATAATTGGCCATCACACAATTGTGCAGAGAATTTCATAGATAGAATTGTGCACCAGCCAACATAGAATGAGAAGTACCGTAAAATGGGGTAACTTTGACCACTTTTTTTCCAAAATTATGCCATTTTTTTACTAGATAAATTAAACTTAAATTAAAACATGCAAAATACAGGTCTATACTCTAGCTTCACTCACCATAAATTGCTGGCTCCTGCCTCTCATATTTTTGATGAAATTTAAAAAGAAAGTGATGGTCTTTGTAACCCCAGCTCTTGGGGTTTCTTTGACTGGGTGGTAAAATCAATTTTATTTTTTGGTAAAATAACTCCAAATAACTCCAGGGTTTGGTACATTGTAGTAGAACTCTTCTAGTTACATAAGCAAATGACAAATTTTAAGGAAAGTGTCATAGTTTGCAAATTGGGGGCACAGCCCCCCAATGGGGGAAATATGACCACCTAATGGCAGCCGTGATGGGGTAACATTGACCAGCTTGGAAATTAAATTAAAATTACCATTTATAAGGCTCTGTAGAGTCTGAAACATAATGAAAAAACATTAATAGGTGTATCAAACATAAATGTGTTATATAGGTACCATACCTATGGTAATTTTAACTTAATTTCCAAGCTGGTCAATGTTACCCCATCACGGCTGCCATTAGGTGGTCAGAGTTCCCCCATTGGGGGGTGGCACTCCCATTTGCAATCTATGACACTTTCCTAAAATTTGTCATTTGCATATGTAACTAGAAGAGTTCTACTACAATGCATCAAAACCTGGAGTTATTTTACCAAAAAATAAAAAATTGAAGGGGGTACTCCGACAGGCTTTAAATAATAGCTCTTTTTCGTGGGTCACATTTCTAATTTTTCACCTATTAGATATGCAAACTTTTTAAATCTTTCTATTGTGTTACGTAGCCTTAGTATTAGGCCTTTATTGCCATCGACAAAATTTTTCTATGTCAAATAGTTTTTGAGTTTTGGGGATTTTTGTTAAAAAAATGAAAAGTGGTCAAAGTTACCCCAGGAGTCAAAGTAACCCCATTTTACAGTAATCAATCTAAATTATGATTTATTTCTCCAAAAATGTGATGGTTGTCATGTAAATAATCCTTTCTGTTTCAGGTATGTTTTTTATGATTTTTTTATTATAGTGAATTCACTTCACTCAATTAAAATGTTGTAAAATTACAAGCCTTCCTGTAAGCTTACAGATACAGAAGAAATGCTACTATATGGCTGCTGATATGAAGCTTGCGGTGGAAAAGGTCATTGTCAATGCTCAATGACATGTCCATGGATACACACATTCAGTATCTCACTGTCTCACAGACTCACATCAATAATATATTAATGTATCATTGTATCATTTATATGGATATGGTACCAACAAATGGGGTAATAAGGGACAGGCAGGGTAAATCAAGATGCGCGTCCCACATTTTGTAGAAATGTTGTAGCAGCTGAACTAATCAAAGTATTGCAAAACTAAAAATAGTGGTGTAAACTTCAACATTTTTAGTACCTATCTATTATCTATACAGCTAGTTAAGAAATCATACATTTACTATCTCTAAAAAATAGCTGAAAAAAGTGTGAAAAGTGCAATTTTGGAATAGTACCTCTACTAAGGTCTGGAGCAAAAAAAAATATTTGCCGTATTAAAAAATTTTACTTACATAAAAGTTGCACACAGGTGTTGGCTTGAAAATGCGATTGACAGAATTTGCCTATCTTGTTCCAAAAAACAATGGCAGCCATTTCTGCGCCACTGGGTAATAAGGAACATGCCCGGTGCCCCCAGGCCCAGGGTAATAAGGGACACCCCTAAAAACACATTCACAGTTTAACTTCAGTTAGCCAAAATTCCAGTTAACAAAAGAATTAATTAAAAACAGAATTTTGATTACATTTACCTCACTTAGCTAGTGAAAAAAAATTTCACTTATCAAAAATTTATGCATCATTGGTCAATGGTCATCACATGATCACAGAATGAAAAGTAATAAACCTAAACAATGATTTATTTATCCAAAGTCCAAAACATATGATGGTTCTTACTAAAACATTCCTTTCTGTTTCAGATATGTTTTTTTACAATATGTTTTTTTTTATAGTGAATTCACTTAACCTAATTAAAATGGTGTGAAATTACAAGCCATCCTGTAAGCTTACACCTTACCTTAGTCCTTAGTGACCTCTTACAGTTACAGATACAGAAGAAATGCTAGCCTATATCAGTATATGGCCATGGTGGCAGGGAATTATGCTCTGACCGCAACGCCGCCCGGGGCGACGCGTGACGCATGTCCTCTGCAATTAATTTTAACCATTACTTGTTCAGAATTCATTTAGAATTATTTCTTTTTCAATTCCCTATTTAGAATTCCTTACCTTAAAACA